CAAGTGGTAGAGAGGAGAGCCAATACCTGAAAACTGTCTTCTGAGCTCTAAGCGTATGTGTGGCACCTGCACGCCCCTGCGCCGCCCCCCCCACCCCTAACTGCAATTTCCAGGGAGACAAAACTAACTAATACTTGCAAAGCTGGGAGGAAGGAGAATTGTCACGTACCGCTGCTGCTGGATATGTAAATTGGTACCATGAAAAGCAGCATGGTGGCCATCATCAAACCAGAACTAGAACTTCCGTGCGTTCTGTCAGTCCTGAGGTAGCGAAAGCCAGTATGTCTCCAAATATTATGCTGATCTTTTGTGCAACATTATGGACAATAGCCACGGTAAAGAAACAGCCTAAGAGTCTCTTAACAGGTGAATGAATACGCAAAAGTGAATGTGCGTATTCCTATGCTGTGAAATTCTGTCCTCTGAGAGCCACAGCCTATATTCATAGGGAAGCTGTGATCATCTAAGAGGTCCTTAAGGCGGAGCCTGTTGATGTCTCTCATAGAAGGAGGAAGTGGGATGGTCACTGGACCCTTGGGTAAGGTTGCAGCCACACCTTTCTGGACTTCTTATACTGCAGCTGCATAGAGTCCCAGTCTTGGAAAGCACTAAAGTATATGTCATATATAAAGTATGGAAGTGGTAGGGGGTCCATTTTTGCATTTCTGGGGAAGTTGTCATCCATGACGGGGAAACATTTTTTTAGTTTATGCTTTTGTTCTAGGGGGAGAGGAGGTAGTCATCTATGATCCTGTAAATTTCTCTCACCTAGTAAGACTGATAAACTCACTGCTTTGCCAAGTTCGACTTTAGTAGGATCATACTTTGCTCTGTAGTTGATGCCTTTTCCTCCCATCAAGAAAAGTTATTCGACAACATGCAAGCACACACACACACACACACACACACACACACACACACACATGCACGGCGAAACATTATTCAGTTATTAAAAATGAAATTCTTCCATTTGCAGCAGTGTGACGATGGTAAAAATATGGAAAGTAAAATAAGTCTGACAAAGAAGGACAAATATTGTGCATCCTTCCACCTGGAAACTAAAAAGTTAAGTTCTTAGTAGAAGAAAATAGAACAGTGACACTAGAGTTTGGGAAGGGTGTGGCAAGAGACCAGCTAAATGGTACAGGGGTGCGGTGCGGTGGCAAGAAAAATATCTAATGTTCTATAGCACAGTACAGGCACTAGGTTGATGCAAACTAACTGAATAGTTCAAAATAGTTACTAAAGAGGGCTTTGCACATTTCCACACGATGCAGTGAGAAATGTTTGAGGAAAGTGACATCCCATTGTACTGAGGACAGTTACCCATGTGCTGAAATGTTATATTATAGCCCAGATGTCACATTGTATCTGAAGCATCACATTGTTCCCCAAATATATAAAATTGTATTAAAATATTTTATGGCTCGGCTGGGGAGCCTGATGAGTGCATAAACTGCTTGGTGTGCAAGGATGAGGACCTGAGTTGGGGTCTCCACAGGAGCTAGGTGGGGTAGGGTGCATCTGTAAGCCAGCACTAGGGCTGCAGGAATGAGAGGACCCCCGACTTGCTGGCCAGCCAGCCTAGCTGCACAGGGAGCCCCAAAGGCAGCACCAGGGACCGTGTCTCAAAGCCAAAGTGGGAAGGGATAGAGAATGACAGCAGGCGTGAGCCTCTGCCCTCCACATGTACACACACAGTGCCTATCCCTGAATACAACACATGGCACCCATGCATGCGTCACATACGTCATACATACCACATAAACATACATTTTCTAGAAAACACTAACATGTCTGTCAATATGGTTGATGCAAAGCCGTTTTGTTTTCCTAAGACACCGAATAGTTTGTGGGGGCTTTTTTGTTTGTTTGTTTTATTTTGGGGTCTTTTTCTTTTTTTCTCTCTTCCTTCCTTCCTTCCTTCCTTCCTTCCTTCCTTCCTTCCTTCCTTCCTTCCTTCCTTTCTTCCTTCTTCCCTCCCTCCCTCCCTCCCTCCCTCCTTCCTTCCTTCTTTCCTTCCTTTGTTCCTTTCCTTTCCTTACTTGTTTCTTTTTTTGTTTCTTTCTTTTCTTTTTTTGTTTTTTTTTTCTTTCCTATTTTCCCTCCTCAAAGTGACGGCTCTGGGTCTTGTTGCCTTGGTGAGCATGTAGTTAGAAAGATCTCTCTGGTTCCATCTTCCTGAGTAAGGCCCCTAGTGATTTTGTTTAATCTTAAGACTTGTATTTAAGTGTGCTCTGTGTGTGTGTGTGTGTGTGTGTGTGTCTGTGTGTGTGTGTGTGTGTGTGTCTGTGTGTGTGCACACACAAGCACACACACACAACACACATGAGTGTAGGTACTTTAGAGCCCAGAAGAAGGTGTCTGATCACCTGGAGCTACAGTCACACATGGTTGTGGGCCACCAGGCCTGGGTGCTGAGAACTGAACTGCAGTCCTCTCCAACAGTAGCAAGAACTCTTTAACTGCTGAGTCATGGTTTCAGTGACACCCCCTTCCACCCCTCACCCCCACAAGTGCTGTCAGTTTCCCTGAGGCCTGTGATTATGCAGATGCTGGAGGCATTCAGCTGGGCTAGCCCATTGCAAAGCACACTCCTTACCAGGAGGTGCGTGAGGTGCGTACAAGGAAGGAGTGTTCGTTGGCATTTTCTAGAAAAGCTACACCTGTGTTGCAGGTCAGAAGGGAGAACAGACTAGTTGATCAGAGCTTGCTGCCGGTTGGGTTAGAGAGCTACAGGTGCAGACTGAGGATTATCTCGGGCGGCGACGTTTATCCCCTTTAATCGATGTTTGTCACCAACCTCAGGATCTAACCTGACATCCTTTGAGATCAAGTGAAACCTGTGGAATTTGTTAGTGACTATCAGACTATCAGACAGTATCCTGGAAGCTAAGGATGGCATAAATTGAGCCTGAAGCCATCTGGAGAGATTTCTCTGCTCTGCCATAATTGGCTGGCCAGCCTGCCCACCCCCGATTTATTTACTAAATATCTCAATTTATGTTCAGGGCCCAGCCCACTATGGGCAATGCCACCCGTGATGGTCCTGGGTGTATAAAAAGGCAGGCTGAGCACACTTGGAGAACAAGACCATCAAGCATTTTCTCATGGCTTCTGCTTCAGTTCCTGCCCCAAGGTTCCTGTCTGAGTCTTGGCCCTGACTTCCCTCAGTGATGAATTAATGATGGCAAATGTAAGCCAGGTGACCCTCTTCTCCCCAAGGTGCTTTCGGTTATGGTCCTTGGCACAGAGAGCTAACTAGGACAGCTGGCCTCTGTGGCAGCTGCTGGGGACTCTGGAGTCCTGGCAGTGACACTGAGAGGCCACCACAGCGCTCCTCCAGAAGCATAGAGTGGCCATGCCAACAGAAGGCCATGCAGCCCAGAGCAAGCTTTCTGTGGAAATAAAGAAGCAGGCAGGACTAGCTCAGAGCTGATTACTCTAGTCCTGATCTGCAAAGCACTGCAGGCCCTTCCACTCTTATTTAGCAGCTTCCTGCTGTGATCCTGAGTCAAAACAGGAACAGCGCGCCTAATTTGTAATATTATCCGGCAATGTAAGGGCTGTGGTTAGCTTTGATTAGAAATCCTAGAGTCAGCATGCTCCCTTTGACTGGGGAAAGTATGTGGGGAGAAAAGAGACTGGAAGAGGCACAGATTAAAACAAAGCAAGCCTTTCCAGTGTGCCTGCGTGTGGTACCCAGGCATCTGGATGCTCTGTTCGAGGGGCCTGGCCAGAACTCAGCCGCAGAACCCAGATGGCAGAACAGACCTGAAGCCAGACAACAATTCTAGCATCAAGGAAGCAGAGACAGGAGGATCCCTGGGGCTTCGTGTCCTGCCTGACCTCCTTGGTGAGGTGGCTTAGTAGATAAAGTGTTTGCCACACAAGCATAAATATCAGAGTTTGGATCACTAATACACTTGTAAAAGCTGGGTAGGCTTTGGTGCCCACCTGTAACCCTGGCACTTGAGAGGTGGAGCAAGGGGATCAGGAGTTCAAGGTCATCCTCTGTAGACAGCGAGTTCAAAACCAGCCTGGGATACATAAGATTTAATCTAGATAGGAAGGAAGGAAAGAATGAAGGAAGAGAGGGACGGGGAAGGAAGGAACTAATGAATTCAAACAAGGGACAAGTAGAACAGTGAGCACCTTTGAGTCCTAGCAGCTCGGGTGGAGATTGGCAGGTACCCAGAAGGGGCGTGGAGAGATGTCTCACCAGGCGGGGCGCATGCCACACCCCAAGCATGAGGATCAGACTATGGATCACGAGAACCCGAGGGAAAGCCAGCTAATGTGGCAACCCTCTTGTAATCCCAGGTCTTTAGAAGCACATGCACACAGATAACACACACACACATGCAAAACACCAAAAATGAACTGGGTAAGTGTCTTGCCAAGTTGGCATGCCATCCTGATCACATATTGACGGCATTTTCCTTTCCTACACCGTAGACTGCACTTCAGTCCTGGCACCCATCATGCGTTGCCCGAAATGTTGCTGTCACCTGGCCATGATGTCACCCCCTCTTCTCATTTGCATTCTGAATTTAGATGAGTACGGGATAGGTTCTCAGTAAAATATTTGTCTGCATTCATTATTTACTCATAATGACCAGACAACCCAGCCTAATCATGCCCCAATAAGAAAGCCTGCTTCAAAAAGCAAGGTGAGGAATGCTATCCAAGGCTGGCTTCTGGCCATCACATACAGGAGCGCGCGCGCACACACACACACACACACACACACACACACACACACACATACTGAGCACACACATACATATCTATGCACACAGAGAAAAAAATTGAAGTTTAAACAATACTAATAATTTGCATTTCTAACAAATCCTCAGTTGCTGCTGCTGCCCTGAGAATGAACCCAAGGAACCATTGCTCTGGGGGAAAGAAACTACTTGTCAAGGCCAGGTACCAAGACAGGCTCTAGAAGCATGTTCTCACAGCATGGAGGATGGTAGCTGCAGATGACTGCTCACCTTCGACAAAGATGATGTGGTCATTGCACTCTTCCATGTTGCAGGCGCACATGAAGAACGTCTCACCCGCCCTTTTCTTTTCCTTCATTATACACTTCGGAGAAGTAGCATCTTCCAGGGTAAACCCGTGATAAGTGAGCGAGGGGTCATGGCAAACTGTCTCCAGTGTAATGTTCTCATCATTCTTCCTCCTGGGGTGCAGAGGTTCGTTGAGGACAAGAGAGAGGGACAGAGAGGGGAGAGTGAATGAGCAGTCTTTGAATAGAACAATCAAGTCTGCGTTTTCCTCAGGAAGTAGTTTCCACTAACAGCACTCACTTCCTGTTCTCCAGCACCTGTAAACTTTCCCATCCTCTCCTGCTCTGACTTTGCCCAACTACCTTACACTTTTGCTCACCTCAAAGCCCGCTTATGATTGTAAATAAGGCGGTTCTCCTTGGGAGATCTGTAGGCATGAGGTTATTGTGTGATTCAAATGCTGATTTCTGTATTCTCTATATCTGGTTGCAAGCCTTGTTCTGAGAATCTCCCGTGTCGATGTTGTATACACACTGCTCCCCAATTGTCCACTAAGATGCCAATAAAGCAACTTGCAGCCAGTTGCTGAGCAGGGGAGAGAATAGGGCTAGACTTCCTACCAGCTAGGAGAGAAGGAGTTAGAGGAGAAAGGAAAAGAATTAGCTAGGAGGGTCAGCCATGGGCAGATGTTTAGGAGGAATGAGGAGAGAGACTTCATCACAGAACACTACAAAGGGCAAGTATCGATGAGATGTACACTGGGAAGAAGCCAAATATAGTTTAGAGGGTTAAGAATAGAGTTAAAACTGCTCAGTTCTTGTGCTGTGAAGCTTGTTAACATAATAGAATCTCAATTATCTGTGTGATAGTTGGGTTAAGAGAAAAACTAAGAAAAACAAACAGTTTTATAAAAATAACTTTAACAAGGATTGCTTCCTGAAACGTCAAGCATCAGTGTTGCTGGAGTTCTTAGGGGGGAAAGGTATGGAAAAGCTGATCCCTGGGGACTGGAGTCATTTTAAATCCACTCGTTGGGCACTAGAGGCTTGCATTGTGCCTCTAGCTCATGTGGCAAAGCTGGTGTCTTTGCCCAACCAGAGAGTTCTTTAGAGGCTACCTAGGGACTAGTAGATCTTTTTCCTTTTATCTTTCGTGTGCCCATGTGTATGCATATATGTATACCTGTGCACATGTGCATGTGGAGGCCAGAGGTCAACCACAAGTGCTGTTCTTCAGGAGACAGCCCCCTTGATTATTGAGGTTTCGAACTGGCCTGGAACCTGCCCATTCAGCCTGGCTGGCTGGCCAGCAAGCTCCAGGCACCCTCTTGTCTCTGCTTCCGGAGCACTGGAACTGCAAGGGCATGGCACCACACCTGGTGTTTCTGGGGGTCAAATTTAGGTCCTCACACTGGTACAGTAAGCGCTTTACTGACTAAGCCATTTCTAAAGCCCTTTTTCCTGCTTGGTGGGCACAAGTCACTCTGTGTGTGTAGGGGTGGGGCACATTTCATGCCAACAGCTGGTTCCAACTGCAAAATGGGAAGAAAGATCTGAAATAAAGAAATTCCTGAATTTCAGAAAGGGTTAAGGGAGAAAACAAATAATTAACGCAGCAGAGAGAATGGCAGGGTATTCTTCCATTCCAGAACAGAAAAACAGGAATAGTTTACGATATCGAAAATGGATTATCTCTTTGCCGTCCATATGTTTGGAGACTAACTTGGCCTGGAGATAGGAGGACAAACAGCATGGCATATATTTTGGGGACTGCCCAGGTGACTGGCCCTACACTAAGCGTCATATTTGCTTCCATGCTACTCTATCTATGTTTACCTTATGTGTACCTGTGAGGGCCTGCACGTGCACCCTGTGCACGCATGGTCCTGGAGGAGGTCAGGAGAGGCCGTCACATCCCTTAGAGCCGGAGTTTGGGAGGTAGGAGTCACCATGTGGGAGCTGAAAAATGAACTAAACTACCTGGGGTTAAACACGTGAGCGTGCGGGGTGCGGGGGGGAGGGGAGGGCATCGCACATCAGACCATAGTAAAGGACACGCTGGCAATCAGATTCAATAACTGATGTTTGGAAGACATGAATATCAGTATCTGCATTTGGGGGTACACAGTGACTCCTAACTCACGACTTAGAAAGGTGGAGAACAAAGTGTCAGGGTTTGAATGTAAAATGTGCCCAACAGGCCCAGGTGTATGAATGCTTGACCTCCATCTGGTGCAGTCTCTGCTCGGTAAATGCTAACACCATGTGACAGTCAGCCATGTCTTCTCCCCGAACAATGGGCTATATCCCCCTAGAACTGTAACCCAGAGCAAACTTTCTTCCTGAAGCTGCTTTGGCCAGGTGTTTTGTGACAGCATTGTGTGAGGTCATACAAAAAGCAAAACCCCCTTACCACACGGCCACGCAGACTTCATGCGGCTTCTCACAGATGGCCGTGATGCTGCAGTTGCTCATGCAGGACTTCTGGTTGTCACAAGTGGACGATCGCACGTCACAAAACTTGCACAGCTGTGGAAGCTTTACTGCACCGCTGTTGTCATTGGTCATCACGTCACTGTTAACTGAGGAGAGACCGAGAGCGAGCACAGGGTTAGCCCACTTTCCTACACCTGAGTTTGATCCCAGGATCCTGTGCTAGAAACAGAAAAGCCACTCCTGAAATCTGACTCCTGACAGCACAAATGGCCTGGCATGTGAGTGCACCCTCTGTGATAAATAAATAAAGGGAACAATATGGAGAAAGGCAATAAAGCAAACCCCGTCTTATAGAGTAGAATCCCCAGATGCACTCAAGAAGTAAACTCCATTGCACGGTAGTAGCGGTAGACATGCATAGTGGCTCCTGGGCTTTGTCCATGCTGGGTATAAAGCATGTTTTCCACACAAACCTTATCAATCAATAAACAAACAGACTGGCCCACTGCCCTGGGTGTTCCAAGAAATTTTGGTTTACTGGAGCTGGGTATGTAGCTCAGTTCCTAGAGTATTTGCCCGTCTATCAGGAAGCTGCAAGTTCCATCCTTAGCATTGCGGAATGGTGGTGCCCCAGGCCCTCAGATGGAGGATCAAGAGTTCAAGGTTATCCTCAGCTATACAGTGACTCTGAAACCAGTCCAGGCTACATGAGACTCTGTGTAAATAAATAAGCAAGCAAACAAAGGAACAAATGAATAAACAGACAGACAGACAGACAGATAGACAGACAGACAGATAGATTTAAAAAAAAAAGGCCAGAGCAAGGGAACAAATTACAGGTGGGCACATAAGATGGGCACAGAAAAAAGTCATCACCCAAGTGGGCAGAAAAGTCTCCACCAAAGAAACACAAAGGTGCTAGAAGTAGACACTGAGGGTTGAACAGATGTGTTCCAAGGGAGGCTGCCCCAGCCTCCAGTGTGAGGACTGAGAGGTGAGGAAGCTGGGGTGACTGCAGTGAAGTGGGGATGTGGTCAGAGAGGTGGTAGGCATGGGTGCAGTCAATGTTTGGCCTAGAAGCAGTGGAGGAGGGGCAGAAGGCAGTGTGCAAAGGTACTGGCAGTTCCTTCAGGTGGAGGCTAAGAACAAGATGCCCATATGTGCCCCCAGACTTGGCCCACACCATCTTGTGTTCCACCGCTGCCTTCTGATCCTCCTCTACTGGCTCTACCTGGAAAACTGATTACACCTTGAGGTCCCAATAGTGGCCTCCCTCTCTCTGCCCACATCCTCGACAACCCTGCGGGCCTCCAGCTACCTGAAACACTGTATCTCCAGTGTGTACAAGAGCACCTACCATAGAGAAGACATCTGTGAGAGTTCCTTCTCTCAGTGCTGCGACAAAATGCCTGGCAAGCGGCAGCTTCGAGAAGAAAGGGTTCATTCTGGCTCACAGTTTGAGGGCACAGTCCACCCATGAGGAAGGCATGGTAGCAGGACTGGAAGGAGCAAGCTTGAGCCTCTGTGTGCGCAGGCAAACAGAGAGGACTTAACTTATATCTGCCGCACTAAGATTAGACACTTGGGTTACGAGTAGCTGTGGGGTGGATGCTGGCCCTGAGGCAACTGGGAGGAACTTCTCCAAGAGATCTTCTGTGAGAGGGCTGCAACAGGCCCGGGTACCCTCCTTGTCTTAGCGTATTCCTGCCCAGAGGGTACCAGCTTCTGTGCCTCCCACGGTCACTCCCCCTGGTGTGACTTTTAGATTTCTGTCCTCAACATTTCACCCTGTGACCTTCTTTGTTGCTTGGGCACAGCACCTGCTTCCTGGGTCTCTAAAAATACAAGCTTATATATTTAAGATCTGCTTTCTTGTGGTGACAGTAAACATAGAAGAAGAAAAAAGCAAGCCCATTCATCCCTTTCAGGACTCTGGTTCATTTCAGGAAGTATATTTTTAGGTAAGAAACTATTTTGAAATCCTCAGCCTCTTCCAGACTGTTCTCTGCTTAGCTAAAAATATAGTCATCAATGGGCTCCGGACCTTGTTTAAATTTGGTACCAACACAACAATGGATATACTTTTTCCTACAGTCATTATGTTTGGATCCATTTGTGAAACAATTCATTTGATCGCTTAGATTTTCCTGCAAGATAATAAAATAAAGAAATATGAGACTGTATTTTCTATAGTCAGGGTTATTTTTCTTGGGTGTGTTCTGAACAAACATTATTTGCTGGTTAGAAAGATATGATGGTCTTCTGAACAGATAATCAAATTTTGGGGAGATGGAATTTAGCCTTTTAATATCTTAACCTAGAACAGTGATTACCAGATTTTAACACTGTGGACAGGACAGTATCAGCACTTGAACAGTTGAAGAAATAGCAAAACCTGGGTAGCTTTCAGATGTTCTGATTGCATGGTTCTGATGGTGGCCTGGGCCTTGGGCTTCTCTTTTTCTTCTTTTTCTTTTCTTTTCTTTTCTTTTCTTTTCTTTTCTTTTCTTTTCTTTTCTTTTCTTTTCTTTTCTTCTTCTTCTTCTTCTTCTTCTTCTTCTTCTTCTTCTTCTTCTTCTTCTTCTTCT